GGCCTGCATGCCTGCGGGATGATATAGGAGTGAGGAAGAATAAATACATCTTCCTCACGGCTCCCCTTCCCCTCTTTGTTCCCTGGAAGGAGAAGGTTTTCCTGCCGGAGATGCTATCGCTCTCCGCCTGGATAGGTCAGCACAGGCAGGCGTCCTCCCATCCAGGCTGCAATTCCCTTCTTTCCCATTGTTTTCCACACTGGAAAAAGTTGTTCCCAGCCTTCCCCGAATGCCAGGCAGTGCCTGGTCCTCTGGTCTTCACTCCGTGGCCCTCTTGGAGGCAACCTGGGGTTTGGCCAGAGGTGTGAAGCCGCCGAAGCGAAGGGGAGAGCCGCCCGGCGTTGCTCATCATCTCCGCTAATTGCCCCCGCGCCAGCCTGGCCCCGGCTCGGCAGAACCCCACGGCACCGGGGTGGGTTTCCACAGAGCGGGGAGCACGTTTGCCTTCCACCCTGCCACACCGCTGGTTCTAAATTTAGCCATTTCCTGAGCTGGTTCCAGCTCCTAAATTAACCCCAAATTCCTCCCAGTGCGTGGGGAAATGCGCAGGATCTGCAGAGGCAGCAGGATTTTCACCACCAGTTGGAAAAACTCAACTGTGCTGGGGGAAACTGGGGAGAGGAGAGGACCGGAGGGGTCCCTGCAGATCCCCACAGGCTCAGCCGGATCCGGCCCTGCAAGGACAAGCGGTTCGGTGATGGCTGCCCCGGTCCCACCACTACCCCCCGCGTCCCGCACCTTCTGAGCATCCATTCCGGCTGCCCCCGTGGGCGCCCCAAAAGCAGAGCCCAGGTCGGGGTGGGAGGGGGGGTTACCTGATTTCGGGATGCTGAAATCCAGGACCTTCCCGGGAGCAGGGTTGGGGTTCGGCCAGGTAAGCGTCCTGGGATGGGATGATGTAGGGATACTCCGGGGGGGGTCCCCACGGCTCCGGCCCCTCGGGGTGCTGCCCTCGGAGGGCGGACAGCTGGTGGTGGCGGGAGAGCTGGGGGTAACTGTGGGAGGTGCTGATGGGGCTCTGCGCTTTGGCCCTCTTCCTCTCCAGCGACATCCGCATCAGCCGCTCGCTCAGCGACTGCACATGGCCGTGCTTCAGCTCCTTCAGCCCCTCGTCGGGGCGGCGGCGGCCGCTCTGCGCCCCCTGCGGACCGTTTTCCCCCCGAATTCCCAGGCTGGCTCACTGCCCGCCCCGCTGCAAGGCGTAATATTGGGAATGCGCCTTGGCCTCCTCGTAGGTGGGGAGCTCCTCGCCCTTGTGCCGGGGTTGGCAGAGCCGACAGGCGCTGTTCTCCAAGTAGACGTGGTGGGAGTGATGCTCCTGGCCCTGCGGCTCCTGCCGCGTGGATTGCTGCACCATTTGGCTTTCCTCTGGGCTGAGGCTCTCCAGGGAGGAGCGGGGGCTGCCGGCACCACTGGCACTGCCGGCACCGCCGGCGCACAGGGCCTGCTGCTGGATGGCCAACAGCGTGCGGTTTTCGGTGAGGTTCCCATAGCGCAGCTGCTCCTGGATGAGGCGGTGCAGCACCGTGCCGTTCGAGTCCTCCGCCGTCCTCATCGCCGCCCGTGCCCTCAGCAAAGCCACGTTTCCACCCAAGAAGGGCGTCCCCGGGGAGTTTAGCAGCAGCCGGTCACGCCGAGGCACCTACGCGGCGGAGGGGGGGAAAAAAGAGGGGGATTAATTAGGAACGGGCCCAGGCAGGACGCAGCGCAGACCCTGACCGACAAGAGGTTGTCTTCCAGCAATCCTGCTCGGCGCGTTGGCAGGCTGGCCGGGACATGCCGGCCGGGTGGGAGCCTGTGGCGGTGGCCGTGGTGGTGGCAGTGGGAGCGCAGTCGCCATCTCCCCGCGGCGGTGGCTGAGTACTGGCGCTCTCATCACACCCATGGCCGGGACTGGCTCCGGGGGGGGGCTGCGCTGGCGGGGGGGGGGGCGGGGGGGGGTGGGGGGGGGGGGGGGGGGGGGGGGGGGGGGGGGGGGGGGGGGGGGGGGGGGGGGGGGGGGGGGGGGGGGGGGGGGGGGGG